CACCCTCCCAGGGAGAAGACAATAACAGCAAAGTCTCACCTTGAGGTGCCAAAGTTCCACCCGCCGATGGACAGCAGTGTTTTCAGCTCTCTGTTCCTATGATGTGGGAGAGAGGGTTGATGAGCTGAGTCCTCCACTCCAGTGGGCAGCTGCTGCCACATTCTTTTGTTTTGCTCCATGGAAGAAAAACAGGAAACAGGAGAGATGGGAGGTAAGGGAAGGAAAAGGAGGAAGGTGATATTAGGAAAGAAATGAGCACAGGACAGAGAAAGAAAGATAGACAGAACAGTCAACCCAAGGGCCATCACAGCCCAACAACTCCAAGGTTGCACAAAGTCTGCCAAACTCGCGCATGTCCCCATGATGTTTCCAAAAAAAGAGTAGTCTAAAATGTTTCTCTTTTTCCTATTCAACAAATATTTATTGAGCGATGTCTATGTGCCATTTACTGCTTTAGGCACTTTAGAACAGAGAACAACACAGATAAGCTCCCCACTTTCAGGGAGCTTATAATCTAGTGGCATAGAACTTTTTCCCTGCCCATCTATAACCATTAATGCAGTAACAAGCCTTCCCTTGGGCACGGAGAGATCCCAGGAGTTCTGGAGAGAGGAAAATGTAAGCAAACACTTACTGAGCACCAACCCTGTGTGAGACACTGACCTAGCCACTGGGGATACAACGACACAGCAGACGCTGCCCCTTCCCTGGAATAGCTCAGAGCTAATAAACAGTAATGAAAACATGAGCATTTGTTGAGCATTAGGGATGTGTAGGCCCACTTTAACCACAATAATAACTAAAATCCTCACAACTAGGTTCAAAAGTTGAGTTGGGTTTTGCCAGGCAGAGAAGAGAGAGAAGCACATTCCAGGCAGAGGCAACAGCAACTACAAAAGTCAGGAGGCAGGAAAGAGTTCAAGGTGTCTGTGACAAGGAGTTCTCAAGGTGGGGGTGCTCTGGACCCCTATTTGAGAGGAAGCTAGGACTGGAAGAAATAGAGGAAAGTTGAAGAGTAACAAGAGAAATAGACTGTTATCTTATACTGGTGAAATCTGAAAATACCACCCCCACATCCAATATGAACACACCTCTCCTTTAGTTTGTTGAACTCTGGGTAGAGAATTTTCTCGTCCTGGAGATCCTTAGCAACAATCTGATTGTTGTTCATTGAAGCAAAGGCAAATATCAGGTGGGTGCAGAGAAAGGGGTCCAGGTCATGGGGCAAGATCGAGGCGGGGCCTGGCCGACTGTGTGCCCAGTTGGTGAAATAACACACCAGTTTATGGGCAGCACCTGGTAAGGGAGAGCACACATTAGTTGACAGAAACCAAGGGAGTGGATGGAGCTCAGCTTCCAGAAAGCAATGTGAATGCAGCAGCCCAAGAGACCGGGCCACATTTTCACATCCTCTCTCCCTGGCCCTGAAGTACACCTCAAAACTACACTGTGGTTCTATTCCTCCCGCACTGCTGAGGTCTCAGGAAGAAAAGAATGCCTCGTGAAATCCTGGTCAGAATGGATTCTCAAGTCTGGACCAAGGCACACAGTCAGAGACACAAACAGCAGGTGACCAAAAACCCTCTGAGAAACTGTGTTGGATCCCTAATCCCTGTCAGAGGAGCCAGGGAAAGGTGGCTGCAGGGGACACTCAGTGTGGAGGACTTCTCAGCCAGACACTCTCCCTGGCTCTGGAAGGGAAAACATAGTTTCCTTACCATCGTGGTGTTTCAGCACAAGAACCAGCCCTGCGGGAAGCAAAGGGAGGAGTCACACAGAGATTCACACCCTCCCCAGAGTGGCATACCACAGCACACCCTCTGGTTAGCAAGGGCGCCCACCAACACAGCACCTTACGCAGATGCAGACGTACAAATGGGGACACACACACCATTCACTCATTTCCTAGTCTCTAAAGTTGGACCAGTGGAGCTAGATAGAAGTTCCTTTTCTTCTGATAAACACATGTATATGCTCATGCTTTGCTCAGGGACAACGATGAATCTTAGAAGTCCCAGAAAAAGCTTCAGGCTAGTGGTTCTCAACCCTGGCTGCAAATTAAGAAGCACTGATATCCTGGCTGGTCATGCAGAGATTCCGATGGAACTGATCCAAGGTGGAACTCGAGCATTTAAAATTTCTAATGTGCCACCAGATTGCAGAACCACTGCTCTGACCATTTCTCCCTGGGCCCTCTGACCTCTGACCCCCATCCCATCTCTATCTAATCCAGGCCCCCTGAGTCTCAGGCTGCTCTCTCAGGAACCAAAGAGATGACAAACTCATAAAGCCTGGCACCTCCTGGACTGAGTGACACTGCTGGGACCTGCCACACTCACCAACCCACAGCAACAGCTTCCACATCTCAATGATCTGATAGCTGTGAGGCCAGAGATGGAGCCCTTTATAGGAGCTTCCCTGTGGATAGCACTGAGACAGCCCAGCTACACACACACACACACACACACACACACACACACACACACCCCACACACACACACCAGTGCCAGGATCAGTAATTTATGAGAGTCATAGTGACCCCAGAACCACCTGTCCTCCCTCTCCAACAAAGCAACAGCTCCGGGTTGGCACTGAATACCAGGAAGAGGGTCTTCCTGATATTCAGTACCACATGGACCAGATATGGGGGAGAAACCCCATATGGTAGCAGCAGTTCTATTATTAAAAGATGATTGGCTGGGAAGCAGCGTAATTAAAAAAAAAAAAGTTTAAACCCTAGCTTTGGATTTAGGCTTTGAATCCAAGGTTTGAATTCAAAGTTTAAGTCTCAGTATCACCACTTAGAAGTTTTGTAATCTTGCACAAATTACCTGCCTCTGCGAGCTTCAGTTTCCATGCTTGTCAAATGGAGATGACAGCTCAGACTTACCTCATAGAGCTTTATAGAGATCAAAGAGATAATGGGTCAAAAAGTGTTAGTTTTGTGCTTGCATATAATAAGGGCTCAGTGAATGGTAGCTATTATTAGGGATGTCAAAAGGGTTGCCCAGGAAAGCAGAGTTCTCAAACTCAAATGACACTTGCCAGGCAGGTAATGTAAATGGATGGCATAGATGCAATAAAACAGCTCTCTCCATTTTATTAGAAAAGTAACAGTTCATGCCCAATGATGTACATCAACTGACATGAAGCCTCTTGGTCAGGAGACAACAGAGATCAGTATAAAGAGGGACAGCACTCTGAGCAGCTGCTAATGGTTGCCCTGCAGGGAAATAGAACCAGTGTTGCCGGATCCTTCAGTTTCTCAGGAGAAGACAAAACCTGAATTTTTATGAGTCAACAATATTTGAGTCAGTATATGAGCCAATTGTGAGGATGCGTCATGAACCTCAAGAATATGATGGATACAATTCTGGACATCTAAGAGCCAGTTTTTAAAAAATGCAACAACAGGAGTATGAAAGATAAAAAAAAAAAATTTATTACCAGACTGCAAGCGAATGATTCATCCGTTTTCTTTCTCTGCTACAGAGGGTCTCAGACCCTCTGCCCATCGTCACAGAGACTGATGCCGCTCATCTCATCCACATGAACTAGCACAAGGTTTTAACCAGATGTCAACATAATCCACAACACAGGGAAACAATGACTAGTGATCAAATTCATATAACATCTATCCTTCATTTCCAGTATGAAGAAACCAGGAAAGTCATTGTTTTAAATCAGCAGTTTGCTTGAATATGATGGAATAAAAGCAACAAATTGTATAGAATTTTTGGAGTATTTCACTGAAACTCTGGGAAAGCCTGATAGAATACCCCACCCAACCAAGACTATGTCTCCTTTTCTTCATCCATCTTTGCCTTTCTTTACGTATTCAACAAATATTCACTGAGCATGTGCCACACCCTGCTCGGCACTTGAAACAGCTTCTGCTTTCAAGGAGCGTACAATTTAGTGAACAGATTGATCCTATCCCTAGGGCTAGTGTATGTCTTTCTTTCTTGGAGAAGTAGCATGATGAGTGCAGTGAGGAAAACATGAGTTTTGTTGCCATAATGATTTGAGATACAATTCCCACTCTGTACCATCACTGAGGCAACCTGGGTCCGACTTGCATGCTCAATGCCACCCTCCATTCCTTGGACTAATATTAACCTGAATCAGCAGATAATTATGCCTCCTGAGACCAACACTGGATCATGCTTGGCAACAACTTGTACCATTGGTTAGACTACCCCTGGTACGTTTTCTGACTACAATGACCATGCTGTTGTTCCCCCATTCCTAGACCTTGTGCCCTCATTCTTGTAACTGGGTCTGGTCCCTGCTTTGACTTCTCTTCCTGTTCTACAAACTGCTGGCACCACAGTTGGTTCCTAGGGCCTGGGTGTGCTGACTCTGTCGTGCTAGGTTCCTCATACCCTATAGCCTCAGAGCCTCCTGTCTTTGAAAACCTTTTTGATGTGGAATGCCTACCTTTCTCTACTTCTGAGCCTCCTCCCACAGCATCCCCTGCCCCTCAAGATTTCACATCACTGAGATTTCCCACTAGGCTGTGGCCTTCCACTGAAGCTCCTAATAGGGGCACTAGCTGCTAATGCTGTACCTAACACAGAAGCCAAATTTGCCTGCCAATTTGAACTTCACTCATCTGCACCTGAGTCATCCTCTGGATTCCTATTCTGCTGCATTAAGCATGGCTAGATCTCAGACCTGACCCCTCTGTACCTTGCAAAAATGACTGATGATGCTGAGAATGCCAAGATATAACAATGGATGCCCAGGAATGACCTCTGCATAATGCAGGGATGACCGTGCCAAAGAGCTGGCAACTATGCCTCTATATGTTCAGCAGATGATGAATAGTAAAATGCTGAATGGGGGTTATGTTGAAAATCAGTGTGCCGTGTCGCTCTGTGTGTTCTCAATCCTTTTCCTTCAGTTCTTGCTGTCAAAAAAAAAAAAAATACAACCATTGCTTTTTATTTTTACACACCCACCCGGATACTTAGAAAATATCCCTCCCTAGTGCTTAGCCTGTTCTCGTGAAGTTAGAAAAGACATTTACAAATGTCTTTTTTACTGAATAAACCCCTGCAGCAGTGTGACACCTCTCACATTTTACAACAATTATCAAGATGAAGGCAAGATCAAAGACGTGAAGTGCTTTGGTTTGAACAGAGCATTTGGCCAAATATTTCATGATACCCATATGAATGAATTAGAGAAGTATGACTTAAACAAAATCAGTTGGCTGAATAACAAAAAGAAATCCAAAGAGTATTGACTACAGATCACTGTAAACTTGAAGGGAAGACTCTTCTCTAGTCAGTTACCACATCTTTAAAGTGAAGGGAGTGTTCCAATATTTGGTGTAAAAGATTATTTTTGGTTGTGCATGAGGGATTTTTAAAAAATATTTAATGTGTTTATTTTAATGTATAGTGGGAAAATGAATATTATCATATAAACCCATACTTTCATGGATCTTATTAAAGTTTAAAAATTGAGGAAATTCAAAAGAATATTTGTAATAAAATAGTAAAGGTAGTGCTATTTGTTTAATGTCTTTACAGGTCAAATAGGCAATATCGCAATCCTAAATATAAAATCTTATAACCTAGCAATTTCACTTTTAGAAATGTATCATGCCCAAGTACACAAAGAAACAATGTTCATTGCAGCTTTATTTGTAACAGCAAAATACTAAAAACAAAACAAAAATCCTAACTGATTAAATGACATCATTAGCAAATGGCTAAAGGTGTTATTGCACATCCATGCAACAGCCGTTTTCCTTTTAAGCCAGTGATTCTCAACTGGGCACAATTTTGCCCAATCTAGCAATGTCAGGAGATACTTTGGTTGTCACAACGGTGGAAGAAGGAAGGTATGCTACAGTACCTAAGGGGTAGAAGCCAGGGATGCTGCTAACCCTCCTTTGATGCATAAGACAGCCCTCCACAATGAATAATATTCAGTTCAGAGGCTCCTTGACTTATAATGGGATTCCATCTCGATAAACCCATTGAAGTGGAAAATATTAATGTTTATGAGAACACATGGACACAGGGAGGGGAACATCACAAACCGGGGCCTGTCAGCAAGTCAGGGGCAAGGGAAGGGAGAGCATTAGGACAAATACCTAATGCATGCGGGGCTTAAAACCTAGATGACAGGTTGAAAGGTGCAGCAAACCACCATGGCACATGTATATCTATGCATCATACCTGCAGGTTCTGTACATGTATCCCAGAACTTAAAGTAAAATAAAAAATATTAATGTTTTCAACTAACCACTATTTTATCAGGATGTAACTCCATCATAAGTCGATGAACACACTGACAACACATTTTGTTTGTTTGTTTTTTGCACCGTTGTAGAGCCGAAAAATCATAGGTTGAACCATCAGAAGTCAGGGACCACCTGTACTGAAAATTTAATAGTGCCAAAGGTGAGAGACCCTGGTTTAAGCAGAATTGCTTTTTTGTGGTCATCAGTTCTTACTCTTTTCATTCCAAAAGAAGTTTGACCGTGTGCTACTAGTTAAACCCTTATTACACTAGATTTAAAAATTAAACTGTTTCATCTATTACAAAGCAAGCTCTTTTGGTGAAGGATTCATGACTGATTCACCTTTGTTACCCCAGATCCAATGGTTAAATGGTCTGTCTTTGGAATGAATGAGCTGAGAAAAAGCATAGCCAAAGAAGTGGGCACACCCTGGCTTAGAAACAGGCAGATTTGGGTCACTAATAGAGAAACTCTGGACAATATATTTGAAAAGTAGCAATAATGACACTTTTCTTGAAAGGTTTAAAAAAACAGAGATTATAAATGTAAACTGTCTGACTCATGGTAGGCACTCATAGCGGCAACGGTTGTTATTGCTGCTAATGGTTATTATTATTGGCAGTGAGATCAGCACCTAACAACATTGAACTAACTAACTGCTCAACAGGTTTAACTAATAGATCCTTAAAGTCCTTTCCTACTCATTCTGTGGCATAGTCCTGAAAGCAATTCATTCATTCATTCATTTTTCTAACTTATTCAACAAATACTTATTTTCTACTCTAATGGAGTAAGCAAAAACTAAAATCACAAAAATTTAAAATACAAGCATGCAACTTAGATGTTAGAGACTCCCTGCCCCTCAGTGGTCTGATTACACTCTGCCTAAATCCCAGCCCCACAACCTGTGTCAGCCCAGTGTCCCCGATAATCCAGCAAAGTCTCAAGAATTCCTCCTTATGTTTTTCTCTACTCCTGTGCTCCTTCATCCTTGGGTGTAGACTGTTTTTCTGCATAGCTGCCTGGTGCATGACTTAACCCTTTTACTGGCCTCCATAAGAAATCCTTACACATCTAGTTCTTGGTAGTTTTTACTAAAAACGGGGGTGAGGGGTGCCTGTGAAGGGTCACATCCCCTAATGCAAAGACTTCACCAACTCCTGGCTCCTCTCAGCTATCCCGGTGTTCTCTCTCTCCCATTCCAGAGTCCCTGAAAAACTCCTCCCTTGCTTGCTA